ATTATATTTATAATCTAGGATTCTATTGAACAATTACGTACAATAGTTACAAATGATCATTTAAATTGTTTAAAAATGCTTGGTCAACTTCTTGTTAAATTAGCTAATTATTTATTACAATTATTTCAACAATTAGCAGCAAAATCAATTGATGATGATCAATTTTTAACATTTGTTAATGAACGAACACGTTCATTTTTACAATTTCTTCTTTTATTAAATCAACATCCATTTCATTTATTATCATTAAATTCTTATCAAGCATTAAATGCATTCATTATTCGACAACCAACATTATTATCAAATGAACAATTTTGTTTACAATTAGTTGAAAATTTAAAACAATCATTATATCGTGTGCATTTTCCATCATCAACAACAATATTAATTGAAAATGATAATGATAATGATAATGATATATTAAAAAAACAATATGAACATAATCAAAAATGTTTTATTTATGTTTTATATGAATATGATAGTGAAGAACAATTTTTTTGGAAATTTTTTTCACAATATAGAACTGAATTACAAAAATTAATTAAATCATTTATTGGCATGTTTTTTCCAGATATTGTTGCTGGTAAGAAAAACGGATTATAAGTAATTGTCAAAAATAAAAAATAGAAAGATTCAAAATAATTATATGAAATTATTTCCTTTATCTTTGTATTGAATATCTTTCATGTCTGATATATATATATTTTTTTTTTTTCGTCATTTAGACTGAAATATTTTCGAGTATTTGAGAATTTTAATATTTTATATAAAATTTCAAAAGGCAAGCTTTTATTTTCGTAATTCTTCTAACAACTCTTTATTAATATTACTTCGTTATTTAACCTTTCGAGAAGTACCTAAAAATGGGTCAACAAAATCCAGTAAACTAGTCATGACTGGGCGTATAAGGTCAATGAGGGCGAACTGTTGCAGACTTTTGCTATTCTCATTGAGACCTGTCTGTAGATGCAATATGAGTTCAACAGGTGGTTGTCACTTGAGTGTTGTTCCCTTGTAAGTAGAAAACTGAACCTTTAAGACTTAATCAAGTCAAACAAGAGTAGTTTTAATGATACACGTCCGAATTATTGTCAATACCATTCACGAGAAAATATTCTCAACTATTCCATCGCTTTTTCCTTGAAACTATAGTTATTCGATTGGTCAAGATGAGCAGTAAGAATGTTCATTTTAGTTTGATTTTCTGATCATCGCTTGTTGAGTTAGGAGCGTTTTACTCGATTTTTGCCCTACGAGCATTGAATCGCTGAAAATCTCAATGAACGAATTTCGAATTGGAATTTTTTTTTCATAGACACTTGAAATATTCCATAGTGATGTGAGTATAGATGAAGAGAAGACTAGAACATACACCCTAATAATAAAAATAAAAGATGCCTTATTGATTGAAATTTTCGATATTTGTCCTTTCAGTCTTCCTAAACATACACCGATTCGATACAAAAATAGACTTTTATTGATTAGAAAAAAGAATGATACATTTTTTTATTTTAGAACGTTCAATTGTTATCGAAACGAATATGTCATGTTTAAAATCAATTCTTCAAAGTTTACTTGCATTTCTTGAATCACTTGTTCAACGTACACCAACTAAAACTGATAATCAAATTCAAACATCATTATCATCAATATATTTAATTATTGAATGGGAAGCATTTTATTTATTAATTGATCATGTTTTATTTATTGTTCGTAAAGAATTATTTTCATCGTCAACATCATTTATAAAATCTCAACAAAAAATGGAACAATTATTAATGACATCAACAATGACAGAACAATTTTTAAGTACATTAAGATTTTTATTACAATTTACACCTAATTTAAGTGAACATATACATGGACATGTATTAAATTTATTATCAGTTATGTTTTTTATAACAAAACATGATCCATCATTAGCTATTCAAATTATTCAACGTCTTTTAACAACATTTCAATTATATCAACAACAATCAATAGGTAAGATAAACAAAGTAAAAAAAAAAAAATGAAATTTTTCTTTTTTTTTTTTTAAGCTGGTACAAATGTTCATGAGTGTGAAATTATGCAAACTCAAGCAGCAAATGCATTTCTATATTTATGTAAAAATTTTACTATTAAAATGATTGATTATTATTCAGAATTATTTCCATTTATATGTCAACTTTATAAAGATGAATTTCAATTAACTAAAACTTTATTATCAATAACAATTGATGAATCATCATGTCCAACATTAAAATTACTTGATGCAGCACAAACATTACTTTATTATAAATTAATTCATAATAATGATGAAACACAATGTGAAGCATTTTATGAACTTATTAAACCAATTTATGAAACATTTATAACATCATTAACAATTGATTCATTAATACCATTTATACAATATCTTGATTTATGTTCAAATGAAACAATTGATATAAATATAATACGTTATCGACGACGAAATTTAATGCTTGCTTTACATTGTTTATGTTTATTAATACGTTATTCAAAACAACAACAACAACAATTAAATCCTATTATACGTTCAAAAATTACTATTTGTCTTCGACCATTTTTATTTGATTATATATTAAAAATAACACAATTTTGTAATCAATTATATGATCAACAAATAAATCCATTTTATGAAATATTAAAAATTAATTTAACATATAGTGAAACAGAAAAACAATTATATTTAGGAACTTATGAAAGTAATAATATGGCTAAAGCAACAATTACATCAACGTAAGATATATTGATCTTTTTTTTGCTTTTTTAATATTTATCTAATCTTATTCTAAATATATTTTTATTTTTCATTACAAAAAAAAACTTTTTGATAAGACAAAAAAATAGGTTCAATATAGAATAATTTCATATGTATTTTTTTTTTATTATTTAGTACTACATCATCAAGTCTCCCAGTAAGTTTTGTTCGTTTTCAATCAACATCTGGTAGTAATATAATTGATGATCAACGTCTTCGTGATTATCTTCATCGTTTATTTGATATATGTTATCAAATAAATGGAATATTTTTTGCTCATGATACTGATTTATATTATTTAAAATTAAATGATGATAATTATTTTATAACATCATTTTTACAAAAAATTCTTTTTGCAAATTTAAATACACTTCCATCATTTCGTCTTCGTATTGTTTTACGACATTTTTGTCGTTCATTTGTTGAACATTATTGTTCATTATTAACATTAGATAAAGAAATAATAAATGAATTATTTCTTACATTTCTTGATATATTTTTACCTTATATTCAACAACGTTTAACAACTATGTGGAATAGTTTATTAACAACAACACTTAATTATCAACAAGGTGAATGTTCAGATGAAGTTATTGAAGAATGTGTTTGTGTTTTATTAACACGTGATTTTGTTGATATTATACGATATTTTATTTATAAAACAACAATTATTGGACAAACAAATTTAATAACAAGTGGAATAAACAAAAAAAAGAATAAAATAATGAATGGACATGGTCATAGTGAAAGTATGTGTGAAGAAAGTAATGGTATCGGTGGTGATACAGATCAAATTGATGAATGGGATGAACAAGCAACTAATTACAATAATATTAGTAATAAATTATTAAATGGTATACAAGAAAAAATGGATTATAGTGATCTATTTACTTATATGATTAAAATGTCTCGACAAAGTAAGTTATTTATATTTTTGTTTCCGAATAAATATACAATCGAATTTGATGTTGACTTTAGTTTTATAGAAGAATTCATATTGCTAAATTTTTCGAATATAGAATAATCCTATGAAGGTCACTGCTCTTTCCCTTCAAAAATCGATCTTAGGCTAATTGCTTGTTCGCACAGAATATTGCGTGCATGTCTTACTTAAGCGAATAGGCGCGAATTACCAGTTTTATTTCTTTAATTGAAATATATTTCGTTTTAAAAAAAAAATATGTGTCGAACAGGAGCTTGAATTCAATTCTTGAATATCTTACATCTGAAATTCAGATATTCCACTATTTTCAGAAACACACACACACATCACATCTCTATGTGAGTGCCTCGAAAATACATCTACGCACTATCTTTATTGGAAGAGTTGAATATCTGAAAAGGTCTTCAATTTCAAAAATGACTATAACATGATATTTTTTTACTGAAGATTTGTACTTCGAAGTAATATTACATGAAAAATTAGTTTTAAAATCTATTTATTTATTTAGATTCACCACTTGCTCTACGTCTTTTTACTTATGTTATAAAAACATTATTTGAATGTTTAACTTTTCCTGATGCGTATTGTGTCAATCGTTTTCTACCAATAATTCTTCCATTAACAAAACTTTATACAGATATTATTGATAAACTTGTTATTTCATCATCATCATCATTAATTGATATAAAATTTCTTTTTCAATGTTTACTTAAAGGACTTGAACGACATAATGAAAATGAAGGTGTTAATACAAATATGATATCATTAATTGGTCATATTTATGAATTATGGCATAATCGATATCAAACAGAACTTGATTTTGTTTTATATCAAACAATTCCACAATTAAATGTTGAATTATTAAATACATATAAAACACGTTTATTATCAAGTAATAATAATAATAGCAATAATGAACAACAAAGAAAATCACAACAAATAACTGAACGTGAACGACGTGATACAATTAAAAATTTACTTAATCCTCTTCTATTATCACCTATGTCAAGTAATAAAAAAGAAGGATTAAATTTAAAAATTCCATTCAATCAAACAATCGTTTCAACACTTTAGCAAAAAAAAAATAAAAACTTGAAAAGGGCGCATGTAACAGTTGTGGTTTTTGTTTTCGTGTTTTGTTTACTTTTGTTCTTTTTTTTGTTTCTTTGATCTAGTCGTCTCAGGCAACAGCAGTTACTTGTGTGTTGGTGTTTGTTTAAAAAAAAAAGAAAGAGAAAATTTCACAGACTTTGTATTTTGGCTTTAGAGCTAATTAACACTATAGATTTCGTTGTTTATTTTTTTTTCTTGTTTTCTGTTTGTTGTTATTACTTCTGTTATTACTTTTTTTTCTTTGAGACTTGCATGCCTATATTTACATGTTAAATAAAACTTTTGAAAAGGTTACAAGTTATTGAAAAAAGGTTCGCTCTTTGAATTGAATAAGACATTAGCGACAATAATTGATCTGAAAACTATGAACATTGATTTTATATAAAAAAAAAAACAAACAATCTATATATGAATTGAATCTAGCGATTTGCAAGCGATTGACCTTCAGTTCAATACATATTGATGCAAAAAGCTGTCAGTACAATCCCTAGGAGATTAAAATGTGAAAAACGATGTAGTGGCTGTTTCTAATCATGAAGAAATTGTTTTATTCTATTTATTTTGGAACACATTTTTTCACCAAACTTTTACTTAATCCTCTAGAAATGTAATAAGGAAATAATGCATATAATTATGACGACACATCATTGACATACGATCTTTGATTATATATTAACAACGTCTGTCATTATCTCGGACTACTCCCTCTCCACAGAAGAAGATCCCAGATCTTCTATTATGTTCAAGTGTACAAAGTTTTCACGAAAGTCTGCTATCATATCCTATTTATTTTCATAATTTTTAATTAAAAAAGTTTTTCAGACAACCAAAATGATTTTGAGAATTTGGGAAGATATTTTTAGGATTTTAAAAGTTCAGAAATAACGTTAACATTAGTCTTTTAGGATTTTCAACTTAAGATCTTAAAAACTAGGTATATTTTTATATAAATACGTTAATGAAAGTTCCAATTTTTTGAGAAATTAATTAATTCTGAGGACGGAGCCTTTTATTATATTCAATGCATCGTTCATTCAAAGTGGTCTTCTATTGTGGGAGGTTTAGGATCTGTTACGGCCTAAGAGGAGGGCGAATTTCTACCCTATATACTGCAACACTTCATTTAGATCGTGCATCACAAAAATAGATCTCATCAATGAAGCTTAAAATCAGGAATTTCGGTTGGTTATAGTATACAAGCTGAAAAATGTCCACTAATCTACAGACATGAATACTGTCTATTTTAAAAGTTACGTTCAGAAATTAGAGTGGCTGTATCTGCTTTTAAAATAGTAGTTTTTGAATCGAATTGACTTTTCAAAGTCTAAAGGAAAACAAAGAAATGATTATCGAGTACTATTCTTTAATATGATCTATTAATAAATCAACATCTTTTTTTTTTATACACAATTAATTAATTTTATTTTTTTTGTCAAAAAATCTACAATATTAATTCCATACAAATGACGCTTGGCTATTAGCATCATGTGTATCAAATTTGATGTGCGAATATCGTTTAGTTGCATATATCAATACTCGATATCGATCTTGTTCAATTTCTGCAAAATATTGATCCTCATCGATAGAAAAGCCAAATCCATGATTCTCACCAATAATAATATGAAAATATTCATCAGGATATTGTTTTTTAAGTTCTTTACATAAGTATTGATTGACATCAGCATATGTACCCATTAAAGTAGGAAATAATTGACTCGTTTGAAATGCTATATTAACAAGACGTTCACAATCATTACCAAACTTAATTGAACTCGATGCAATGAGTACTGCTCGTGGATATGAACTAATCGGTGATAATTGGGACAATGACTTTTTAGATCGATCACGACTTGATGACTCTTGGTGTGATTTGGTTTTTTCTTTGGCTTCAAATATGATACATATGCCTTGAAATGTCCATAAAGTAAGGTTAAAAATGAGTTCAATCAAACCGTCCACCATGGAAATTTTCAATAGTATACACAAATAAATAATACGAAGAAAGTGAATGTATGATCTACTAACAAGTCATTTTTTATATATATTCTGCAATCTGTTATCTTTTTTGTATGATTAATGACTTATGTATGTAAATAGATGTCATCATGGTTATCTAATCAAATGTTAGAATCACAAAATATTATGACTCATGATTGTGAATACCTTTTTCATCGGTTTTCGATATGTAACACAATAACATTTTCTTTGTGCATATTAGTAAGTACTCTCCTATAATATATGCTTTATTTCATATACTTTGAGACGCATATATTATGTAAACTAACCACCTTCAATAATGTGATACTTTGTAAGATGACATCGAGCAATGTGTAAGTTGCTTGATGAGTATTATTCACTGAAGAAATAATTATTATTCAGTACATATTCACGAAACATTAAAGCGTTGAACTAACATCTAGTTGAAAGATGACTCTAAATTATTACGTATGATGAAAGTAAAAGTTTGGAATTGGAATGACTCTTTGATATTTTTTAGTTTATTAACAAAAAGTTGCAATTGGTTTTACTGACTGAGTACAAATCAGCTGCACTATTACTTTGAAAAATTCAATTTTTCTATTTCCGTCAGTTGTTTTTTGTAAATTGAAACATATTTTTGTATCCGCTTTTAAATATTCATTGAAATTCGGCACAAATATAAAAAAAACGTATAAATATATATATATATATATATATATACCAAAATAAAATATGTCACATGTATTGTGCTTTGCGATACGATTTACGATGCATTCGTCCGTGACACATTTTTATAATGTGGTTTGAATCGAGTCTTCATTGTATTTGTCATTTTTTCTGCAGAAGGAAATAATTGCTATTGTTTCTAGTTTCATGCGAATCAGTGATACCTCTTCTTAAAGCTCAGGACGGCCAGATCTTTAGATCTAGCTATCTAAAATTCTTTTGATCTCAATCAGACTGCGTCAAGGCAGTTCTTTTCCGATCACCGATCAATCAATCGGCATGGCCTCGAACAATAAATAATCGAGAAATAATCTAGAACAAAATCCATATGAAAATATATAAGTTCATAATGTTCAATTGAGTTGGTTATATGTAGGTGTATGGACAAAACAAAACGGTGAATGAATAATTATCAGACAGACCACGATACATTCATAATACGGCATATTTTCGTGGTAGAGTCTGAGACACTATACATAGCGATACATAAATGTAATGCATTTTATTTTAGTCAGTATATACATGTGCGCATTGTCTAGAAACTAACAACATATGTCTTTTCGACAAAAACCAAATACCTATGAATAGGTCATTTAGTATAGGCCGTGGTTAAATTGTTACAAATTTAAACTCATTTTCAGCTACGTATTTCATACCAATAGCAGATGCATATAACTCGCATCATATAATGTGTTTCAATTATCCTTGTCATAATGGCTGTTCTTATCGGTCTTTTATTTGTCCTCATCAATACTTCATTACATGTTCTGCATATCATATAGAAGAATAGAAAAAGACATAACAATCTTGTAGTGGTAGTCCATCTTTGATAAAGAGAATATTCTCCCATGACCTTGAATCCAAAGTCTCATGTAAATGATAAATAAAACGAAAGATATGAAAATATTGTTCAACACGTAGAAGAGCAAGTGGACTTCCATCCATCATCTTCTCTATAGTTTTGTAACACAATCTAATCTCCATAACTACTTTTATAATAACTTGACGAAAAAACTGTAACAGATATTAGTATTGATTGAATCTATATATGTATATATGTCGACTTTCGAGATTCAAAGCCATAATACATTTCATTGAAAATATTTCTAACATTTTTATTTAATCAATTTTCTAAGTTATTATCTATAGGATGACATCAGTACGATGGGCTCGAATTATGTGTTTCATATTAATTGCAATCATGAATTTGAGTGCATGGATCGATTTGCAAGGATTATTTGTTGAAATACCTCTCATTGTTCCATTTACTCCAGAAAGATGGACTTTACCATCTATAGCAGCCACTTGTATGTGTGCAGCTAATATTGCTCCTGTTATAGTTGTGATATTGCGTTGGCATCAAGGAAAACGTTTCTCTGAGATTCCTTACATTTACATAATTATCACTGTCGGAATAATTGCCTGTTTTGTATTGGCCTTGTTCTGGCAAAAAACAATGTTTTTATTTGGTCGTGAACGAAGTGTGTGGCTACTCACCTGTATTTTTATTCTATCAACGCTAGACTGTACATCATCCTTGGTCTTTTTCGATTATATGAAACGATTTCGCACACAATATTTAAGAGCTGTTTTCTTAGGTGAAGCACTGACATCTGCTATTCCTACCATATTAATACTTGCTCAAGGTGTAGCAGGTGAAACAATATGTATTCAGAAAAGCAATAGCACAATTCTAGAACCCAGTTATACACAACCACGTTTCAGTGTTAAAATTTTCATGTTTTGCATCGCAGGTATCATCATGGCATCACTTATTGCCTTCATTCTTCTTAGATGGACAAGTATAGTCACATTAGCCGATGCTGCGGAAATGGTAAGTGACTCATAGATATCTCAGAAAGTCTATTGAAACGCAAATTAACACTATATTGAGTTCGTAAACTGATTTATTGCTGTTTTACTTTCAATTAATATGTCTCAGTATTACTAGCCCTGACACCAAAACATTGATTGTAGAAAAGGTCGAAATCATATGAAAAGTAAAGACGGTCCCCAGTTTTTTATTCTTGTAAGAATTCTCTTTATTTATCATAGTAACTATACGGGTATATCGTTTCTTTATGGTTTTACATTGTAGAATGTTCATGAAAAGGTAAAAACTATCAGCAATATTGTCACCGAAGAGAACTTACCTATGACTGATGTCATCCAGTTGCAAACATCATCGAAATCCATTCAACATATGTCACGACGTGTATTTATTCTTTTCTTAATCCTTAATACAGTTAATTCAACTATATCACTCGGATGTTTGCCATCGTTGAGTACGTATGCTTTGCTCCCTTTTGGTCAGAAAGCATTCTATTATTGGAGTATTCTCATACCGACTGCTTATCCATTTTCATTACTACTAAGCATATGCTGGAGATCAGTGTCGACTCATCTAATTGTCCTTCAATCAATATTTAATTGGCTGCTTGCTACCTTCATTTTTATTATTGCTGGACAAAGTCCATGTCCATGGTTAGCAGACACAATGCAAGGTGCTTTGATGATTATTACAATATGGTTTAT